GCCGCCGCCGCAGCAGCAGCAGCAACAGCAGCAGCAGCAGCAGCAGCAGCACAAGAAAGCAGAAACCTGCGGCTGCAGCAGCGGCCCCAGCACAGAGACCAAGAAACACAGGCCCTCGTGGGGGGCTGGGGTGTACCGACATCGCGCGAGGAGCGGCGAAGGGGCCGCCAGCTGCGGGAGAGGTTCAACCAGCTTACTGCCATTGAGAAACAGCAGCAGCAGCAGCAGCAGCAGCAGCAGCAGCAGCAGCAGATGCTGCTGCTGCAGCAGCAGCGAGAAAAGTCTGGCAGTCGACGACATCGAACCAGCAGCAGAAGCACGAGAAGTCCGCGCCGCCACAGAGACCAGCAGCAGCAGCAGCAGCAGCAGGAGCAGCAGCAACAGCAGCAGCAGCAGCAGCAGCAGCAGCAGCACCTGCGTGCTGGGTCACGGGTGTCGATGGGGCCATCGCAGCAGCCAGTGTTGCAGCAGCACGGCAGCAGCAGCAGCGCGGACGGCTTTCAGCAGCAGCAGCGGCTGCTGCTGCAGCAGCAACTGGGAGAGGAGCTGCAGCAACAACAGCAGCTGAGGCAACAAATGGAGGAGCAGCTGCTGCAGCACCAACAGCAGCAGCAGCAGCAGCAGCAGCAGCAGCAGCAAATGATAGACGAGCAGCTAGCTGAGGCCGAGCTGCAGCGGCTGATTGACGACCACTGGGAGGGGGCCAGGAGGCAGCAGCAGCGGCAGCAGCAACTCGAGCTGCTGCAGCAGCAGCAGCAGCAATTCCTCTACGAATGCCGTAGGGAAAGAGAAAAGAAACGCAGCAGCAGCACCAACGGCAGCAGCAGCAGCAGCAGCAGCAGCAGCAGCAGCCAGGCCTTGCCTGTCCTCTCTCTCCTGCAGCAGCAGCCATCCCCATCATCAGCAGCAGCAGCAGAAGCAGCATCAGTAGAAACAGCAGCAGAACCAGCAGCAGCAGCAGCAGCAGCAGACCGGCAGCACAGCCACTTGCTGTACCCCTCGCGTGACGGTGCAGCAGCAGCAACAGCAGCAGCAGCAGCAGCAACTGCTGCTGCTGCAGAGAGGCGCAGCAAACACAGGAGGAGCTGGAGTGTATTCACAGCTGCTGCAGACTCTGAGCCAGCAGACATAGACCCCGACCGGCTGCATGCAGTAACAGCAGCAGCAGCAGCAGCAGCAGCAGGAGCAGCAGCTCCTGAAGCAGCAGCAGCAGCAGCAAGGAGACAAGACAGCGGCGATGTCTTCTGCAGCGAAGAAATAAACCTTTTGGGGCTTTCTGCTGCATGCGCAGACAAAAACAAATTCAGTGGAGTGCAGCAGCAGCAGCAGCAGCAGCAGCAGCAGCAGCATCACCTGCAGCCGACGTTCCTTCCTGTCTCCGACCCACCTGCAACACCAGCAACACCAGCAGCAGCAGCAGCAGCAGCAGCAGCAGCAGCAGCAGCAGCAGGAGAGCAGAAGGGAAAGACAGCAGATGTTGGCGTTGCTACTGATATTTCTGTTGAGTCGCCGCTGCTGGATGTCTTCGGCTTAGAGGAGAGAGAAGCAGCAGACAGCAGCGACGACGAGCCTCAGCAGCAGCAGCAGCAGCAGCAGCAGCAGCAGCAGCAGGGACAGCAGGAGCAGGAGAGGGAGCGGCGGAGGAGGAGACGGCGTGAAAGAGCAGGAGCAGCAGCAGCAGCAGCAGCAGCAGAAGCAGCAGCAGGGCCCCAGGAGGATTCAGGGGTATTTGGGTTGCCTTCAGAGGTGCAGCAGCAGCAGCAGCAATGGGAGGATGAAGCAGCTGCAGCAGCAGAGGCTAGACAGCATAT